ATTTCTAGTTCCTATTTTATGACCCGTTACTTTTTATGAGTCTAGAAAAAAATTATATAAATTCCATCCTTTGACGTTCAAAGGTGGTTAGTGTTTAAAAAATTCAGGAAAAGACGCCTCTAAATAAATGTAAAATATTTTGAGGCCCATATTTTTCCTTGATGAGGTGAACAGATTACTTAAATGACCACAATTTGTGATCGACTAATGATATGATAAAACCTTAAACGCAAATCTGTAGTAGGGCATATAAGCAATTTGTTGGCATACATATCAGTAAAATTGATTACAAACTCTCGGAGATATCTTTATTCAAAACATTAAATGTTGATATTTTATTCAAGCCGCGACTTTAGGATAAAAAAAACTAGGTATGCATATATGCCAATACACGTCTATATGGACAAATTTAATGCCCATAGGTCTGCACCAAAAACACTGTTAAGCAGCGATATTTTACTCTCTTATATATTTTTATATATGCACAATGATTTATAGACAACTTTTAAAAACTATTATTGTATATATCTAGACAACTAGTAGTCGTTTTCCATTTAAATTAAAGGAAGGATCCGGATCCAAGTTTCTAAATCTCCAGAACCCAGCGACTTCAAAAAGTGCTACTGAAATTTTTAAAGAGAATAACTGTTATTCGGCCAGACTTTTGATTTGAAGAGCTTGGGAACTTGAAACGCAATTGGGTTTGGAACGATAGGTAATCGCTTATTCAGTAAAAACGACAATCGCATAATGTTCCATCGTCCCACAATGGCTGGCACACTTTTTTGCTCACCTTTTCCACGAAAACTTGGTCCAAGCTTGAAATTTATGAATTGCTTTAGCTCCATTTCTCGCTTTCCCTTAGCCCCCACATTCATTATATTTGCAATAATATTTTTACTTTATAATTCAGCGAAGAGGGGAAAAGTTGCAGTTGATTTGCACTCATTTTGCGGAAACGCGCATTTGAAATATGCCTTTCAATAAAGCCGGCCACCAAGCGAAGGGCAATAAGGCGAAATGGAAAGATGGAGGAAAAGTGCGAAAAAAGGAAGGAATATGAAAAGCTGTCAAATCGAAGAGAAATTTCAATTTCAATTCAATGCAGACTTGTTATTTAAGCCACACTTAAACTGACCACCGAGTGTTTCACGCCCCTGCATAATTTTGCCAGCTCAGTTTGGGTGGGTGCGAGTATCTTCATCGCCATTGCCATTGTCGTCGTCATCGTCGTAGTCATAGTCATAGTCATCTCCTTCCTTCGACCGCATTAATATTGAATTTCTACAATAATCCTTTTTATGTGTCCTACAATGAGCGCTAAGTGCGTTCCTGCTGCCGTGCCAACCGCCTTTATGGCCAGATCTCGGACCAAATGCGAAATGCATTTCCGATTTTGCTGCAGCCACCATTTTACCCGCCTTCTCTTTTCCCTGCCCCTCCGGACTCAGGTTTCTAAGGGAGTAAGTTGGTTTCATTATAGACTTTGAATTTACATTTTGGATATGCTTTAAGTGAAGGTGATCCAGAAAACCACTTGAGTTTGCGCTCCTAAAAATCGTTGACTGTTGACCTAACATTTGCAAAAAGTTGCTGCCTAAAGAACTGGAAAACGAAAAAATAATTGATTTGGAGGAAGCAACCAATATCAATACTACTAGTTTAAAAGGTATTTTCGTTGTTTCAATCTTATTCCTAGTAAAAAAACATTTTACTTCGCGGCAATTTACTAAAAATCTAGGAACGTTTTCTAGAGTATTCACAGGTTTAAAGGGATTTTCCCACTGCTGTTTTCTCATGTTTTTGCAGAGCGTCATTTCTATAGCATTATTATTACTTTTCCCTCGCTCATTCTTTTTCGACTGCACTCGGTGGTCTTTGGTTATGGAATTGCACTTAAAGTGTTGCAAGCGCAACAAAAACATCAAAAGCTACAACTGCAGGGTTTTCGTTTGGGTAGGGCTTGGTTTTGGCTTTGGTTGATTCCCATTTCGTTGTCCATATTTTTGGGTGGCAATTTTGTAATGGAATTCGCTGTGCGGATGTTGCTTCTGGGTGTTATTGATAGTCGGGCATTATTTGAAATTAATTTGGTTTCGTGAATTGGTTGCCAGTTGCCGGTTGCAAGTAGCAGGTAGCTTGTTGCGCTCTCTCCGACGGTTGCCCACATGCCCACTAATTAAGTTTAATGCTCAAGCTGCAAGTTGTTCCAAGCCGAAAGTGGGGCTTAGTGGGTGTTTTTGGGTGGCTGGGTGGCTGGAGGTAGTCGGGAAATGCGCAACCAGGCGCAACCCAGACAGGAAAAACAAATGCAAAATGCAAAACCTTCAATTAGAGTTTCTGCTGCGGCTTCCAATGCCATCGTATGCCCGGCTGATTTTGAGGTCGGCAATCCTCTAATTGGGCTCAAACGCCCACCCACTCATGTATGGCCCCTCTTCGCACAGCCTTCGCACCCCGACTCATGTGGCTGCAAGTACTTATATTTATGTGGAGACACAGCAGCGTCAAATCGCATAATTAAGGGATTTGCCTTTGGGTTGGCGATTCAATCACTTGGGGGACGGGAAACAAAAGGAATCGTTTCACAGCATATTTCTCGAAGCAGATAGGATGGAAGATGGCTCCGGCAAGCTAAAGTTGATGTTCCCGTGAGGCTTAACCATATCATGCATATCACGTGTATTGCAGAAACCGTGTTTTTGAAAGATTTGTATATATGTATATACAGCGATGGTTCCTATAAAATCTTCATGACATAGTCGTCCGATTAAAAACCAATTGTATTCGAAATTCTGAAATCATAAACCCAAAAAGCACGAGTTGTAACATGATTTCATTGTGCCCGCTGTAGCGAAATATTGATGCTTCCCGCCTACAAAGGCATATTTTGTAGCAGCATGTCGAAAGAGAACATTTTAGAAAATACAAGCACTTTTCGTCACAACTTTGAATATCAGAACTGTAGGGATATATGTATATTTAAGTGTATAAACAATATCAAACAAAAACACTTCTTAATTTGTGACGATCGCACCTTCAACAATCAAAAGTTCTGATATCAACTTTTGTGACGAAATTTTACTATACGATCTACTAAATAAATAAACTTTCTAAATTTTTATCATTGCCATTGTCATGTGCCAATTTTTGTTAATTAATAACTTTAAAAAGTGACTTTTTACAACATCGTGTCGTATATCACAAGTTGGGGAATCTCAAGGGCTCTACACTTTGAGGATCAACCCCAAAATCGTTAGAGCTGTTTTGAGAAATAAAAAAAAAAGCTTTTAAAATAAGAATAAAAAATCGTTTGCCAATAATTTTTACTTGGTGGTACTTAGACTAATCATGTTAGAAAGGCGTACAAAGTATTTCGAGATACATTTCTAACGACATATAACGCAAGCCTTAGTTGTTCACAACAACGAGTGCACGAAATGTAGCTATTTATAGCCGATCTCCCGCCAAACTATCGAGTTATTTCAAAAACGGTAGAACTAAAGTTTCTTCTATTAAGCTGTCTAGCATCATCCAAAATTTTCAGGACCATAAAATAACGTTTTGGAACAAACTAACAAAACAAATAAAATTTCATTTTGAGAAGTCCCCCCAAAATGTTGTTGTACCTATTTCTTTGGAATGAAACATCCGAATGTAACAAATTAGAAAACAACTAAATATGACTAATGATCTTGTGCACTAATCCCCAACGGCCCCAACAGATTAAATGTTCTAAACTTTTACTATTACACTTTCACCACTTTTTTTCCCAAACCAACTGATTTTTTTAATGTCTTGGTATGCAATTAGTTTTTGCGATACCTTTAGATGAATGTATCACTCGTAACTATCGGATGAACACAGTACATTTTCATTTCTTCCTGTATATATAGTTTTCGCCTTAGGTCACTCTCCTTGTGCGCTTCGTCACTACGTGTAGTGCCGTCCACAGTGAAAATTGTTTGAGACGAATGCCCAGGGACACATACATGCTTCCTGGGCCAGCATTTTAGGAAGTTTCTATGATAATCTCGAATTCATTTATTCTCAGATTGGAAATTTAAGTACAGATTTCCTCATTTCCTTTTTGGTAAAATTAAGTTTTTATGCCCGTTACTCATTGAGGTAAAAGGAATGCGTTTCCAACCGTATAACGTACATATATGTATATATTCTTGGTCAGACTAACTATCGAGTTGATCTAGCTATATGATAAAGCCGTCCGATTTGTTTTAAATTTTTATTCCAAGTTCTAACATATTTAAAGAATGATATTCTCAAGAGCAGAAGTTAATATGTCAAAAAACACCGAAGTTATACATTTTCTTACATTAAAAAAAAGAGATTGTTTTGATCATTCCTGTAGGATATAGTTGTCCGATCCGTCTCGTTCAGACATATAATCTACCTGGAAAAAAAATTTTGGGAAGGTTTAAAACTGAAAGACTAGTTTGCGTAGAAAGGGACAGACGGACATGGCAAGATCGACTCGTCTAGTGATGCTGATCAAGAATATGTACACTTTATGAGGTCGGAAACGTCTCCTTCACTGAGTTGCAAACCTCTGACTGAAATCATAAAACCGTCCGCAAGGGTAAAAAAATTAAGTAATTTCTATCAACACCCATTAATGTTGCAATCAATCGCAAAATCGGACCATGTACTTAAAAGTTATGAGCAATTACGCCCACAAACCGCAAATGTTTGTGGCGCCCACATTTTTAAAGATTTATTGTCATTGTAATTAATATTTTTATGTTATTTTTCAATACCTATCGGTGTGCCAAAACTGCTTAAATTGGGCCGATACTTAACAAGTTAAATTGTTCAGCTGATTAACGGGTATATGATAGTCGGGTCATTCGAATCATTTCATGCAGCGAGAAGTTAAACCAAAAATCGTTGCCGTTTCCGGATGATAGCCAAAAAAGTGGCAAAAGAGTTTTAACCGTAATAACAATGATGATTATGCTAATCTTTTCCTTTCCTGTTTGCAGATCCCACAAATCATAATGCTCACCTTCGATGGGGCGGTGAATCTGAATAACTACCAGCACTACCAAAAGATATTCGACGGCAAGCGCAAGAATCCCAACGGCTGTCTGATTCGGGGCACCTTCTTCATGTCCCACGAGTACAGGTGAGTTGTCAGCTCAGGTGGCAAATTGTAGTTTAATAAGCCAGCTGGCTGAGCTGACATTTGACAATTGATGTGTGCTGTTACCGTTACCTGTGCTGTTTCTCGTTTTACTGGGGTGACAGCCATTTTCCATTTTCCAAATGCACATTATTTTGGCATTACAATATTACGCATACGTCGTGTACGCAGGCAGCAACCGGGTGCGTCTCTCGAGCTGTTTTCAAAATTCTCGGGGCCAGAAAGTTAAGTGAGTCAAGTGAGAGTCTGTTTGGCAGACAAAGTTTTTGTTCAAAATACTTGTCACATACTTGCCATGCCCCACACATAACACACACACACAGTTGTCAGACAAGTCAGTGGGGTCCGCTCTGCTCTGCTAATTGTTGTTGATAAATTGGGGCTGACAAAGTTATGTCAACTGCAAAATGAATTTTCGCCAAAATATATAAACTACATTTTGACAGACTTATAAAAACGGCAGACACACAAACTCGCACAGGCAACAAAGTAAAATGGCAACAGCAAAATGAAGTGAAAGAAAAGTATAGGGGAAAAGTAGCAGTTCCAGAAGTACATGTGTGCATACAGTTCAGATCAAAACTAAAGAAGAGGAAAATTATTTCATAAAATAATGGCTATAAAACGAAGAAAGTAAAATGAAAAATCTAATAAATATTCTTATGTTATATACAACAGAATTTTTATATTGATAAAAAAGAAACATAAGAGCTCCAAATAAAGCAGTCAGCTGCATGCCCAAATATTAGGAAGGTTCAACAGTCGAGAAAATCAATTCATGAAATTTTTATTTACTTTTTTTATTTTAAGGCTACACTCTTATATTATTTATTTATTTATTTGAAATTTGTTTCCAACAAACAATGAAACATTTTTTAGAAACTGTTCGTTTCGGTTTCTTCATTGGAAAGAATCGCATCCTTCTTTCGTGCTGCAGAATTCTGGCGGTTGGCGAGAAATGGAAAACTAAGTGAGCAGGGACAGTCAAAAAATTTGACAGCCGAGCGTAAACGGCAAAAATCTTGAGTGAAGTTTAAAAGCTTTTTTCTACTTTTGCAACAACACAGGGCTACAGGGCTGGTAGAACTTTGGGGAAGGCCCAGAATTCAAGAAAAACCTGGGGGAGGCAACGGGAGGCAGTTTTGAAGTTGAATTGAAATGCGCTGAATGGCAGTAATTGCCTGAATATGCTACACATGCACACACATGAATGCGCTAATCGGACGACTCACTGTGTGAGTGCCAGTATATATACATACAGTATATAAGCGAGGACTTTTCCTTTTTTCGGGCGAATCATTTTTCTGCCACCGAGGGAGATGAAGGAGTGGAGACACACTTTTCATCTTTTTCCCCAGCAGCAGCCCATAAATAGTGGTAAACTGCAACTGCCTGCAACTTGCGACTTTCCACATAAGAACAAGCCAAAAGAATCTGCCTGCTCTGCAGAGCGGAAATGATTTAATGTGCTCGGCAACTCTTCAGCTTTTAGCTTATTTTGTTAAGATTTTTATTTTCAATTCGCTTCGCTGACTGCCGCAAAGTATGCAGCGAAATTTCCTTTTTTGTTTACGTCCGCCGAGGCAATTAGTTTTGTCAGTTTCCCAAGGAATCCATTTTTTCATTAGGGGCGGCGGGGAAAATGCATACTCTCCGTCATCGGGCTGTGCGGTTCCTTTGGCCACACACATCCAGATGAATCATATTTGCCGAAGATTTTTTGCATACGATTTTGCTGTCGGCAATTGATTTAATTTCGCGGAGAGTGCAACATCCCAGGAGTGACACTCGCATGTCAAATTTTATGTCTGCCAATTAAAGCACCAAGCATATATATACCTACATTTATATCATGTGACAATCAGATTTCAAACAATATTAAATTGAAAACCTATAAATCAAATCCTAAAATAACTATACTTGAAAGCACCTAAAAGGATCAAGGAAACTTTAAGTAACATCATCGAACCGTCGAAGTGCACAATTTTTATTGCTGAGCTTGAGGCAATCCCAATATTTTATTTGCATTCTTTCTATTTGCCAAATTGCGTGCCACAGAACTAAAGCGTTGTGATTCACTTCCTAATTGCTCGACATCGCCATCGACGAAGGGCAAACACTGTGCCGGGACTGGGGATCTGGTTATTTGGTCCTCCAAATCTCTGCTCTTCGAGGAGCTTGTGGCCCAGCTGCTTAGAATATTCATTTCAATTGACATTGCCAGCACGTTCGCCACGGCAACTGGGAACTGTTAACTGCTAACTGCTAAAACTAAGAATACAGTGCGAAAGAACTTTAAACTTGCTTTTAAAAAATCCGAATTAAATAATATATTTTATATAAACCATAATATAGCACAAGATATTAACACAAAGCTTGATACAATATTAAGTTGTTAGAATATAGGTCAAATTGACAATGTGATCGATCAGGCCCATATAACTATTATAATGGTCCATTTCACCAATACCATTTTGTGTGTTTTTCCAAAAAACACTACCTCTTTGGACACCAGTGCCCCATTCTCCCAGGAAAACCTCTTAGATCTGAATGTGCCATCCGCCAGGGTGTTTTCCCTCAGTGCAGCAAATACTAACTGGGAATGGCTGGCGAGCTGGTTAGCGTCTCGCAGGGGAGTTCCGGGAGCTTCTGGGGAGTGCTCACTGCTGACTGCTCAGTGTTTGCTATTTATACGCCGAAATGTCACTGATAACGAACTTTCTTGCCATCGAATGCTGCTCCTTCTGCTGCGGCTAAGAAAACAATCAGACAATTGCCACAGGACTTTGCACACTTTCCCGACTGCAGGCTAACACAGACGCACACCCACACACACACGGGGCTGAGACAATAGTTGTTCATTTGTATTTGGCTTTGGCAAACTGCAAAAACCAAGGAAAAAATTAAGAACAATGTTGAAGGAAAGTTTTTGCGCAGCATTTTAATTGCACGCAAAAACTTTTAACTAACTAACAAGCCGAAAACTAGGCAACACCTCACTGAACGCACACACACACGTACTGTATATGTATAAAAAGCACAAAGAAAGCGGTGGGGGCAGGGGGGACATCGAAATAGAGGGGAAAAGATAGAGTGGCAAAGGCCAGACTAAGCCAACTAAACAAAAGCGACTTTGGGGCAAAATCTAATTTCGTAACATTTACGTTTTATTTTCCCTGCTAACAAACACTAACAATTATCAATGCACTGCGGAATAGACTTGGTTCGAAGGAGCTCGACTGCCTATCCATGAAACCAATTCAATAAAAACAGTCCAAAGTATCAGTTTGTTGTATTGCAGTGTACTTGAAAATAAAACCTTAAGCAAACCAGCAAAACCTTAAGCTCGAAAATCCACCAACCGATCGATTTTATATGTGCAGATATAAGTTGGGTAAACCCCCGGACATTTGTATCTTTTAGATCTCTGTTGTATCCGTTACTTGTATCTTTTAGATCTGTGTTGTTTCCGTTAACATCTGTAAGCGGCACTTAACATGGGTATTACAGCTGTTAACAAAGAAACGAACTAAAAATCACAGTTTTCCCAAGCTTAAGTAATTAATATCAAATCAGTGTAATGTTGGAATGTTCGGAATGTTGTCTCCGTGTCATTTTTAAGTATGAGCAATATATTTATTTGTGTATTTTTTAAAATCCAATTCAATCAGCGTCTCCTGCAATCCAAAGGGATCTATGTGGGGCATTTTGACGATAACGTTTCTCGAGCTGTTGTAATTGTATTACTAGTTTTTCAGTTGTAGGCTCCACAAAAGCTTTAAAAAATATTTATCCAAAAAATATCGCTTGTACTGTCTTTAACAGAAATAACATACACAAAAAATATTGCATTGGACGAATATTTTTGAAAACAAATAAATACATTTTTATACATACATATATACAAAACTTCACAAACATTTTTTTCGTGTGGAGAAAACGGAGGGGTGCGCAAAAACCGACTGAATAAACATGAGCGAGACTCTTTCCGCACAAACCAGAGGATTGAAATCGAGTCCGCGTTATGTTCCGTCATAGCTGAGGAATAAACTTTTATTGCCGGCCCAGTGGGCGTGGCCACCTGGCAGCTGCCCAGCCAACTTCCAGCAGCAGCTGGTTTAACTATGTAATTATTTATTTTAAATCGTTTTCCCTCTCATCTTTGGAGAATTGCCCGAGCAATCTGACAGGGAAAAGCGGGAAAAGGTAGTCAAGTGTTTGGGCTCGAAGGGCGTGGCCATTGGTTAAAGTTAAAATTCTTTTCAGCTACCTAGAACTAGCATTAAGACCAAGAACAAGAAATTGGCCAATCAAACCATGTTGCGGCGTCATTAAATCCTTATAAACGATTCATTGCTTGAGATAAAATAGTAAATTCATTAGTATGTAAAATACGAACAAGAATTCCCAAAATTAGATGTACACCGAATAACAACATTTATACAACCTTTTTAAAATATAAATTAAACTTATTTTAAGCCAACACTTCTGCAACAAACAAAAAACCATGTTAAGAGAGCCAGGGGATTTTCAGTTAATTTTTTTGATTGTTATTCATGTTTGTGCGTTTGACAGAATATTCCATTAACTGGTTGAGTTCATTGGTATCGAAATCAAATCCATTAACTGCTTTGTGTGTGGCAATGCAAAAGCATTTCCTTGCTGCATATTTAATGTCGTCATATGCCCAATCCCAATTGCCTGCTGCCACATATCGATTAAGTGGCATTTATAATAGAATCAATAAAACACAAGATCCAGCCGCAAGCCCAACTTCGCCTAGACATTGTGCCAGATTCAAGTTGCTCACTTCCATCTTCTAGACGCACTTCGGGAAATTTTAGTGGCCTTAGCAATTAGTGATATGAGATACTACATTTTCAATTTTAATTACATGGCAAACATTTTTAAGTGTTTCTAAAATAGTTTAAAGTGCCAAATAAATGTTATTGGACTATCACTTTTCGATGTTAAATCTCTAT